GCATAGGGTCGCTATGAGTCGAAAACGACTCGACGGCACATAACAACAACAACAACAATTAAAAACTATTATGTACAGCTTTGAATCAATAATTTTCAAAATCCAGATGAATGTGTGAACTCGGAGGCACGAACGAAATAGAGCCTGTAGTAGATCTGAAGTTGGAAACCTGTGGCGCGTGGAGATGGCCCCATCTGCCTCTCGGAGGCTTGGGCGCAGGTGGTGTGTGTCTTTCTGATCAGGGAACCAGCTCAAGTTTTGCCCACAGGGAGTATGAAGTTACTACAGCTGTCAGACGATGTTGGGCGTCATCACAGGTCATCGGCAGGGGCCTCACAGGGAGGGCCTGGAGCGCTGCTTGGGAGTCAGCGAGCATAGTGCTGGCCAGGTACCTTGATCCCCAGAGCCACGGCTGTAGGATCTGACCCTGCAGTGGCTTCTGCCCCTCACGGTCTTTGTCCACTTCTGTGACAGCACTGCTTGTGATGTGGGGCTGATTTGCTTGGTCTCCACACCTTAGGAAGGAAAGCTGCTCTAGTCCTATGTGGGTGGCTTCCTGCATCTCAGGACAAGTTGCCTCTTTACCTGTTGATGTATTAATAGATGGGTCAGTGTAGAATGTTTTAATCTGGATTTTCATTCTTCCCCTAGAATAAGAGTCTATGTAATAAACCGACAAATTCTTCACAGCCCACATCCCAAGAGCGGTGTGTTATTCTCCATGTTGGGAGTTCAAGAAGTAATTAAATTCTTACACAATTTGTCCAAGAAAAAATATGAGAAGTCAGCCAGTTCCTTTTATGAGGCTAGGGTACTGTTAATTAAAAAAAATATCAAGGGAGAATATTCTTTTTAAAGAGTAAAAAAAGAAAATAAAAAAGAAATAGGCTAAAGTTAGGTGTGAATACAAGATATAAATACAACATTCTGAAGAAAATCCTTTCTAACTCTCCAGCAGTGTGTGGGTCCCACACCAGCTCATACGCATTAACTGCCCTCTGGGAGGAGCAGAGGCCAGCTTCTCTGGAAGGCAAACAAATCCTGGAAAGCCCATGGGCCGGCCTGACCTGTCCACGGCTCACGGGCAGCTCTGACCTGTCCACGGCTCACGGGCAGCGCTGACCTGTCCATGGGCTCACGGGCAGGCCTGACCTCTCCACGGGCTCACGGGCAGCTCTGACCTGTCCACAAGCTCATGGGCAGGCCTGACCTCTCCACGGGCTCACGGGCAGCTCTGACCTGTCCACGGCTCACGGGCAGCGCTGACCTGTCCACAAGCTCACGGGCAGGCCTGACCTGTCCACGGGCTCACGGGCAGGCCTGACCTGTCCACAAGCTCATGGGCAGGCCTGACCTGTCCACGGGTTCACGGGCAGCGCCGACCTGTCCACGGGCTCACGGGCAGCGCCGACCTGTCCACGGGCTCACGGGCAGCACTGACCTGTCCACAAGCTCATGGGCAGGCCTGACCGGTCCACGGGCTCACGGGCAGGCCTGACCTCTCCATGGGTTCACGAGCCGCGCTGACCTGTCCACGGGCTCACGGGCAGGCCTAACCTGTCCACAGGTTCACGGGCAGCGCTGACCTGTCCACGGGCTCACGGGCAGGCCTGACCTGTCCACAGGTTCACGGGCAGCGCTGACCTGTCCATGGGCTCACGGGCAGGCCTGACCTCTCCACGGGCTCACGGGCAGTGCTGACCTGTCCACTGGGTCACTTTGG